ATGTTCACCAATATGTTTTAGTTCTTGAAAATTTTCTACTATTATATGATGTAAATGTATTGTTTTAGTTACATTAGATTTAATTAATAAAACTTGATCAGCTAAATTAGACTTTTTGAACTCTGGTATTTGTTTATAAAAACAAATTAATGATTCATATATAGCAGTTTCATCATTTAAGAATTGTACTAAAGTTGTTGATGATGTACATCGATTAATATGAGAATAATCAGCTTGATCAGCTCCAAGTTTATAAGCATTCACAATATTATTTAATAAAATTCTATCATCGTTAGATAAATTACGATGAATAGCAAAAGTATCGATTGGATAAATCTAGATATGAGAGAAACAAAAATAAAAACGAAGGTGTAATTGGTTTTTTTTTTATATAAATATTTTTATTTACTGATTCAATTTTTGAAACAACAAGTTCTTGTGTTACTTGTCTTGTAATTAATGATTTGGTACCTTTTTTCTTTCGTACAACTAATGGAAGATTTGCAATCAATTGTTGTTCATCTAATGATAATTCATTTAGTTGTTTTTTTTGTTTATATAATTTTTTTAATTGTCGTAATCGACGTTCTTCTTCAGTACGTATCCAATCTTTACGCATATTTATAGCAAAGCATTTTTTTAATCGACAATGAGTACATTGACGACGACTATGCATATTTATAACACAGGTACCACCGAAACGACATTCAAATTGATACTAAAAATATATAGGATTAAGTCGAAATCAAATTAGAATTACACATCATGTAATTGAACTTTTTTGAACAAATTATTACGAAAGAGATTTTTCTTTACGTAACACAAAAAAACAAAGACTATCAGATGAAAACTTGCAATAAATTATCTAACGAAAAAAAAAGCAAGATCGAATTATGAGCTATGCAAGAGAATAAAAGATTCTGTTATATTGATGAACGAGTTGAATTTGATATCAAATGAATTGGATGATATTGACAATGAGTATTTCAAATGAAACTGATATTTATAAGGATGGGTATCAATCTATTTTAGGATATAAGTTAAAAAAACTTCATGATAACACATTTTTCAATTAAAATTAGACTTTTACATTAAGATATTAATTAAAATTTGCATGAATAATATTGAATTATTGATTAATATAATTAATATTTCTGAATATAAGTAAGTCGTTACCATATTTTTTAATGCATTTCGACGAAAAAAATGCTCTACATGATTCACAAGTAATTTGATCAAAATTATAACCATGTGCTGGTGCACCACAAACACCACAAATAAGATTCAATGGAATAGATTCTGCTGATGAGTTATTTGTCATTGATGTCTGTAATGAATATTCATCTATCTATTTGAAAAAAAAACTATGATTTATAGAATAAAATAAATAAATCAATACTTAGTTTTTAACCTTATTTGATAATGATATTTTCTCATTGTCTTCTTGATTTGTTTTATCATAGATATTAAAATAATTAATATCTATATTTAATAGATTATTAGCAAAATTTATTGAACACTCTTCAAAATAAGTCGATGATTTGTTACATATTTGATTCCAGTGTTCATTACTTGACATTATCGTTGTTTTTGTTGTCAGTGCCTATAAAAAAAGTACTCGAATTTTTTTATTATATGTATACAACTTGGTCAAGTGTATGTTATATCTATCATTGACATATTTAATATGATATGTTTCCTATAAGCACTATGAGATACTCTATTCTTTTTTATTCTTAACTATCTATTATATATACACAAATTTGCTAATTTTCGATAGATAAAAACAAAAACAAGTAAATCTATATAATTATTATATAGAGCACGTGGCTTGTTTTCTTTTTTTCTCATTAAAAGGTAAGAGGTTATTTGTACTTAGCTGAGGCGATGACAGCTGGGTGATGAAGTATTTTTAACATGGAAATAAAGAGCAAATATACATTTTTTAGATTTATATGCATATAGAGTAAAATACTTTTTTTCCATTTGTATTATGAAATAAATATATCGTCCTAGTTATTATCGTCAATTGACGACCATGTAATTGTTATTATCGGATTTTTTTTCTATCTATTCTATGAAAAAGTAACTTAGAGAGAGGGTAGAGTCATACAAAACAAAAACCTACTAAAATGTTTTTCTTCGAGCCTATTCTTTATTTTTGATAAAGGCGTATGGTGGGAGAAAGGCTTTCACCATACTTTGAGAACGTAATCATGCAGCGTAAAGAACATATGACTTGACAAAAAAAAAAGAACGCAGAGAACATTTATTAAGTCCTGTAAGTGATGACGTCTAAACATTACTCATCAACGTGTATTTATATAAAACCATCTGAGAAAAAAAATCATGCTTGAATTTTTCTTTTCATTATTGATAAATACTATTTGGATTATAAGAAAGAATAAAGAAAAATCTACAATAAATAATATATAACATCTTTCTTTATGGAAGAAGAAAAAGACAAAGAGCATCAAAAAATTATTATAATATAAAGTTACTAGAGAATGATCATTTTTATTCATCGTCTAGAATTAGACTTTATATTCAGATTTAATCCGTTCTCATTCTCAAAAATCGAGCTTGAATCAGGAACATGGAAATCACATGAAATTTTCAACCGTATATCATGACATTCGAGGGAGATATTCAATAAACAAAGGTCAAAAATAGCTCATTTGATGATCCAAAATTCTTGGTAGGCCTTTATTCTATAGACTTAATTTTTTTTGTTTATAAAAGTATGTCATGATGCAGGACATGACATAGCCTTTATTTTTAAATTCTTACTTTTTAAGGAATAAAAAATTCAATGATGCAAAAACTCTCCAAAATGGCACTCTAATTGTCGCAGTACTCTTTTATATAATAGTAACAAAGCTTAATTCCAAAAAGGAGATCTATTATGCCCTACATCTTGACATGCTCGTTCAAACAAAAAAAAAGCAATTAGCTACAATGAAGGTTCTTCAAAAATTCTGGGATGCACGATCAAAAAATCATAAGCAGAGAAAGAAACGAAGAAGATTTTTCGTATTTTCTGAAAAAAGCTTATTTTTCGAGTAGGAAGTGAAGGAAATATTCGATAATTTTTGAAAAAAAAAACCGAAGTGCCGAATAAAAAATTTTATCATTTATGAAAGATCAGATCACGAACAATCTTTCTATACATTTATCTTAATTTCGATCATTCTGACGAAAAGTGACTTTTATTGAAGAGTGGAAGCTTAATACCTATTTTATTTATAGTGTAATATTTTAAGAATGTATAAATATGATTATCTATTTAAAAATTTCTTCCAAATTAATTTATCATAATCATGTCTTTATGTTTTCTTTTGACTTCAATTTAAGCAGAAAAAAAACATAATAAGATTGCTCTCTTTCTGCCAATGATACTCGAAAAAGTGTTGTATTGTTGCTTCTATTTTAGAAATTCCATTGTAGATTACAAAATATGCATTATTGACTTTTTCCTCATTGAAATAGAGCGAATCATAATATTTATAGAAAAAAAATTCCTTTAAGAACAAGAAATTTTGCATATTTAAAATAGATTTTAACAGATACGATGAATGTATTTAAATTTAAGTTTTCTTTCGATTAAAGATTACTAATTTTACTTTATGTAAATATCCATAACAAAGTATACGATTATATTTTGTTGTGTCACATGGCTTCGCCCTACGATCGTATTTCTTCGTATTGTATACAGAGAAATACGACCGTTTACAGTAAACTATGGAGTCAAACAGAAACCGAATACGATCTTCATATATGGACTCACTAGATGATCATGTGTACGATGTTACCTTCGGAATATTTGTGTCTAACTAAAGATTTTGATATAGTTTTTGAAAAGTTTAAAAATTTGTATGAAAAATAAAGAAACAGATTTATTATTTACTTTTATAAATAACCGAGCATAAGTGTTCAAAGTTGTTGAACTCAATAAATTGTATTTTCATAAATATGTTCCAGATATAAATTGTCTTGTTACAATCTTAAAGTATTAAGACTGCAAGTTATGTTGTGATTATTTGTTAGGTTAAATAAATTCTACATTCTTCATTATTCTCAGAAGCTTATTATTATCGATTATATTATCATTACCTGAAGGTCATATAATGTATGTTCCAGGGAAAATGGACCTTACGAAATTCTGTCGAAAATTTTTTCAGCTTTTATCAATTAAACTCAAGCTTTACATCAAAAGATTTTATGTTTAATTTTTTACAAGACGTGTATAAAAGATTTTAATATTTAAAGAATTCTCTAAAAAATAATATGTCGAAGAATGGGTTAGAGTGAAATAACATACTCATATCGTTCAAACCACTCGAAAACTACCGATTAACCATTCGGTCAACTGGAGGGACTTGACAATGTTCCCCAGAAGTGAGAACTTATTCCATGTCTAGCAGAAATGCTTCACGTTCGAAAAATTCAAGCACAAACACATTTTTAGGAAATAGCATCTATTACTTCACGTCAATTACACTATAGAAAATGGAATACTCACAAAGGATAAATCATTCATTCATTCCTTTCTGCCTTCATAAGCAGAAGAATCCATGATGTAAATGAATTACAAAATAATTCAAATTTCATATAAAATCTATAAGAAACCTTTCAGAGAAGTTTTGCTATATTTTCTAATATGATTTTTCTATTTTTTCAATAAATCTTTTCTTAAAGTTTCTATTAGTATTCTAATTATGTGTTCTATTACTTTCTACTAGGTTCTATCATAGGTAACCAGGATGTGCTAGATTATATATTTTTTCAGAGTTTCCATGGAAACTCAATAAATACTAGTATATTAGATATAGAAGATAGCGGATAGAAAAGATACCTGAAGTATACGAGGTGTTTGACATATACGATATAAAGAAGGTATAGAACAAATGAGGTATGAGTGTTGTTGCATGTACCTGCCTTCCCACGGTGTCCACACCATTGTTGCAACTGGCAACGGTATACCGACTGATAGACACAACTTTTTTGCACCAACCGATATCGATTTTTTCGAATTTTTGCATGTTTTTTTCAAAAAATTGATCATAAAGGTTTATAGCATATTTATTTTCATTTTATATTATTTATATCATATCTTTCGGAAAGATAGAAGAGATAAGAAAGTAAACCTATCGTGACACGCAGAGTACATCTACAGTTGATGCAGAATTTCTATGTCTGACGAGCATTTTATGAGTGTATAAAGATAATGTAGAATTTGTAGGGCTATGAAATTTTGGGTCCATCCATAGATGCTAAAAGAGAGAACACTTATAGAAACTGATAGTGAAGGACAAGCTTTCAGCAAAATTCGTACGGGGTTAAAATATTAAACACGATGGAACTATTTTAACTAATGTGAGGAATTCAACGGGAAACAGCGAAAACTCCGTACTTCACCTTATTCCAAGGATATGTCAAAGCTATCTTCTCGAGCTTCTTAGCTATTTGAAGTCTACTGTCAACGTGCGACACGAGCATATTAGTTTGATTCCTTGTATATAAATCTATCTGACACTAAAGTCCAAATACTTCATCGCACTTCACTGATACTCAAATCTTAAAGTACAATGAAGTATTTGAACTTTAGTGTCAGACAGACTTATATAAAAGGAACCAAACTAATATGCTCGTGACACACGTTGATAGTAGACTTCAAATAGCTAAGAAACTCTAGAGGGATAGCTTTGACATATCCGTGAAGTATGCTGAAGTACGGAATTTCCGCTTTTCCTCCTTGAAAGACATCATCATCTATATCACAGAGGGTGTGGATGTGTGCGCCACATCACACCTACATCCAGAATCCACACATTCACACCCACCCACACTCATACCCAAGATTGAAGATAAAATAAAATATTTAAACAAATCGCTTGAAAATATAAAAAATTGATCTGCTAACAATATTTGATCTAAGCTTTGTAGCTTGAAAGAAAATTTCAGATATTTTTTCTTACTTATATTAAGTAAAATTATGACGAGTTGCAAATCATTTTCTTGAGATGGCAAGTATTATACGAAGTGATACTAAAGACAGATGCGGTGTAGCACATAGTATCGCAACAAAATTAAATCTTTTTATGTTAAACATTAAAATGAACATGTGCCAAATCATTCTTCTGCTGATGACAAACAGAGATCATCAACAGACATGACTGAATACAATATTATGATGGTTTAGGTGGAGTAGCTACACAAATGTCATACATTCCTGTTCATTGAATGCTTTTCTTTTTATTTTTATGTCAATGAGATAGGAACATTGAATTACCGTTCAGATACGAATGTATCCTGTAATTTACTCCCTATCAATGATGCAATAGAATGAATGAAAGTAATTTAATTTAGCAATAAAAGTGCTTTGTATTTCAGTACGATATGGCTTTAGTTCTTCACACACACACACACACCATATGTTACGTGTTTCATTTGGTGAGTAATTATATGCAGCTAAATTTTTAAAACAACAACAATAAGAAGCAGTTCGAGATTGACACAATAAATTTTTTCTACAAAATCGCAACTGATTTTCGAAGATTATTTATATTGATTACCGAT